ATGAAGAGGTTTCGTGAAAGTCAGAGAGGGAGAAGACAGGAAGGAGAGGTCAAGTGTGGTCAGGCTGCATTACAGACAGTCAAAGATTATGTTTATCTTTAAAATTACCAATTAATTTTATAAACTGTTGGCAAATTATTTAGAAAATAGAATGCTCAGACAGATTATAAATTTATAAATTAATGTTAAAACTATCGATAAATTATTTGAAAAATAGGATATTCAAAAATTAAATCCCATCCTGTAGAGTTTTGTTTTGTTTTGTTTTGTTTTAATGCAGAATACAGAACCTCATTAATAGAGGACCTGAAAAAACACTCTGTAGGAAAAATGATTCTTAGCATCATCTACAATGAGACCACAGTATATCCAGGCCACAGTCTGATGAAGCAGGCCATCGACTGAGCATCATCTTTTAAATGTCTTTGTTCAAAACACACAATTGAACCCTAATCTCCAAGAAAACCTCCACACAAAATCATACAGAGGAACATTTCACAGGTCAAGTGGCTTTGACTCTTCAAAACAATTGTTGTATCAAGAAATTATTTAAAGGAAATGCTCTCAATTTTGGAGAACCATATTGTAGATTTGTTCCTTTATTGCACTATGAAAAGTTCTCCCCCTAAATCTATAAGAGATAGCTTGGAATAACTAGAAGATGTAATCTTAAACTGTGTGAAGAATAATATTAGTATATTGATAATTTCTTTAGTGTGAGGGTGCTTATCAATTTGTAGCAGAAAGTCTTCAGTCTTGGGAGATACACATCAAAATATTTAGGTGTTAAGTATGATAGATTTAATAGACTAAAATATAGTTCTAAACATATCTTTATACTTCATATGCACATGATATATAAGAACACACTCATATATCCTTTTAAGTGCTAACTGAGTATAGATAGTCTCCTAGTTACTTCAGCTATCAATTTGACATAGCCCAGAGTCATAAGAGGGAACTTCAGCTGAAGAATTGCCTTGACTAGATTGGCCTATGGATATGTCTGTGGGGCACTGTCTTGATTGATGATTGACATGAAATGGCCCAGCCCACTATGAGTGGTGCCAGAAAAGTGAACCTGGGTTGTATAATAAAGGTTTCTGGACAACAGCCAGGGAGAGCATGCCAGTAAGCAACATTCCACCATCACCTCTACTTCAAGTCCCTGCCCTGCCAGAGTGACTGCCCTGCTAGTGTTCCTGACCTGACTTTCCTCAGTGATGGACTATGACCTATAAGATTAAATAAACCCTTTCCTCTCTGAGTTGCCTTTAGACATGGTGCTTATCACAGCAACAAAAATCAAGCTAGTAATGTTTCATAAAAGTTTGGAAACTCCATGTTTCTAAGTTTATGATATTTAAGAGCTATGCTTTTCTTTTTAAAACACTTTTGCATATTACTACTTTAAATATTCTCTTACATATTTGCAACTCTAGTAGGAACCAACATGTGAATTTGGGAACTTCATCAACACTAAGTGGCAGAGTGAGAGAAACAAGCTTACCTTGGGAATGAAGTAGTTTCTGAATTTAACGTCACAGGTCACTGCATGAGGCAGGTTCATGGGGATGAGGTCAATGTACCTCTGGATCTCATGCACTACAGCATCTGTGTAGGGCATGTGGCTCCTGTCCTGCATGCAGGGGCTCCTGTTCCTGCCAACCACACGTTCGATCTCTTCCTGGACTTTGGCTAGAAAGACAAAGTGGGAAATGATGTAATGGGAAGAAAGTGGCGCAACTGCCACAGCAAGTCAGTGCTACATGGGGCAGGGTGAAGTCATCTCAACAACATCACAGGCCCTAAGCACGTCTAGACTTGTAATGCCATGGGAAAATATAGCTACCCAAAACCCAGGCATTCACTAAGTAGATATACTTCTACATATTATCATACAGGATAATCAGTGCACATAAGAATGGTTAAATGCTTTACTATACAGATATCTTACACATATGAACTAAGAAATCCCTACCCCTGTAAGGACAAAAACAAGAAAATAAGAATTAGTGTCATATCAAATTAACATATGGTAGTAATTGAATTCTCCTGGCAGATGAGTG